GTAATATAAATTTATGTTGCTATGAAAAATGCTCATAGATATGTTGAATTTTGCATCCCACATGGCAGGACCAGAACAAATGATTTCGCTGGCTTTATAGAGCACATGGGCCTGATGTACCCAACTCGTGCTTTAAGACTTCTCAATGCCCCAACATCAGAGAGAGCCATCATCCCATTCCTGGGTTGGCATTGTGGCATAGCTGGTTAAGCTACTGTTTGCAATACTAGCATCCTGTATTAGAGCCCATTCCTACCCTAGCTGCTGTGCTTCCAATTCAGCTTCCTGCCAATGCACTAAGGAAAGCAACAGAAAATGGTTCAAATAATTGGACCCCTGTCACCAAGAGGCAGATCAGATGGAGTTCCCGGCTCCTGGCTTTGGGCTGACCCAGCCTGTGGTGGCTTTTTGGGGTATGAACCAATGACTGGAAGATCTTTCTCTCTGTCTCTGTCTCTTTCTGCCTTTCAAATAAATAAATAAATAAATAAATAAATTTTCCTAAAAATCCCTTTTTTTGTATACATGCTCTAACTACAGAACTTTTTCTATCTTATGCTTCATATTATATTTCCTTATTTACATAAATGTTTCTCAACTAGACTACTCTTCATTTTCTTTATTTATCATCTTACCTCCAGAAAATAGTACTGTACTTGGTACATACAAAAGACTCAACAAATGTTTTGAATTGACATTTCATGACATCTCTTAAGAACTATGACTCAAGGTAACATATAAGAAAGTTCATCTGAATTCAGAGAATGAATAAGATAGAGTGGGAATACAAATCTAAAGTTCACTGACAATCTCAGAACCTAAATTTTTGCCATTCCCATTGGATCACTTTTTTTAATTCTGCAAATAGCACCTTAATAATCTGTATTCTAAAAAATCATAGTAGTCTTTTTTTCCTAATCAAACCAAGAACACAACTCATATTTTCTGTATATGGTGTTTAAATCGTGACTGGGGCCAGTGCTGTGGTGCAGTATGTTAGTCCTCCGCCTGTGGTGCTGGCCTCCCATATGGGTGCCAGTTCGTATCCCAGCTGCTCCATTTCAGATCCAGCTCTCTGCTATGACCTAGGAAAGCAGTAGATGATGGCTCAAGTGCTTGGGCCCTCGTGCACCATGTGGGAGATCCAGAAGAAGCTCCTGGCTTTGGATCAGCTCAGCGCCGGCTGCTGGCAGCTGTTTGAGGAGTGAATTAGCGGATGGAAGACTTTTCTCTCTGTCTCTTCCTCTCACAGTCTGTAACTCTACCTCTCAAATAAATAAATAAAATCTTTAAAAATAAATAAATAAATCATGACTGAATATAATTTGAAATTAGGAATAAGATTATAGTTCTCAACTGTTTTTTTCATAGCTCATGTGTTTTCTTGTAAGCAAAATAATTAAGGTGGGAAGACTGACTTGAGATGCCACAGGCTTTGGTGACATCATGCTTTAAGTGAACACTGCAGCAGCATCCCACCATTAGGCAATGAAAAAGAATAGATGCAAATAGCAAAAACACACCTTCCTTCTCCACTAAACTTTAACTCCAAGTGAAGGCACACTCCGCGTGGCATACATGACACACGCCACTCTTAGCCACCACGTAGCAAAGCAGGCTTACAAATGTGTTGATGCTTTCTCAATGGTTCAACCTATAAAAAAAACACCATAAATAAGCAGCAAACATGCACTATTAAGCATCAATTAATGTATTCTGCCTGCATATTTAATGTATATTTATTATAGTAACTACTGTAACGTCTTGGGGACTTTGCTCTTGGGGGAATCCAAGCTCAGGGAAGCTTCTTTTCAATGCTGGGAATGTGAAGAAAGTGTGCTGCAGGAAACAATTGGCGTACTCTGGCTGGTGCTGAGCTGCAGTTGCGCTGGCTGTGCGTGATATGGCTGCTGTCAGGGAAGGCAGCTACACACAGAGCACGGCTGGGCTGCTGACTGCAGCTGCCGAAGTGCTTGTTGCGGTATTGTTGACGCTATCTGGAGATGCAGACAGAGATTGGGAGGACAAAATGACCACACTGAACAAGGCAGAAGAACCAAGGTATAAGGTAAATGCAGTTTAGATAATTGCCAAACATGAAGAGATTTTTTTTGGACTTCCCACTTTATAGAAATATTCAAAAATGGCTTTTCAAATGGTTATTTAAAAAGCATAACCCCAGTCTAACTTCTTCTTAAAGAAGACTTAAAAATTCCTAGTAAGACAGTTGTTGATGCAGAGTATTAACCTCTGAAGATTGTTAATGCCTTCAGAATTCTTCCTTTCCATCTATTTGGGAAATCCTATCTCTCTCTCTCTCTCTCCCTCTTTCTCTTTCCCTTCACTCCCTCCCACTCTGCCTTCTTTCTATCTCCCTACCTCCATTTATCTGTCAGACATATACCTAGACAGACATCCTGAAGTATATCTATGTAAATAATGTTGATGTGTCATATATCTGTAGAATACTGAATAACACTTTTCTGCTTGCAATTTACATATCTTTGTTTTTCCATTTCATATAGAGTGGGACGTTTATATGAGCCAGAACCTCTCATAATATTTTCTTTTTAGGTTCTTTATAGGAAAATACCATCACAAAATATTAAAGGTCCATATTTTATGTAACAAATAGGCAAATCTGAGAAGACAGATTAAATGAAAAGGCTCTTTTTAATTTAAATTATTCAAAGAAAACTGTAACACTACAATTTTAAAAGAAGTTCTACACACACTTTATAGTCTACTGATGATGAAATAACATTAGTCCCACAAGGTCTTTGTGTACAGGGCTCCAAATTCAGTGTCCTTTCCATGCCATCTTGGTGAGTGTGAAGCCTTCTAGATATATTTGCACCAGAATCAATTTTTTGTTGGTTTCAGGCATATTCTGTGATGATAATTTTCCCTTTTTTTCTAGTGCTTTGAATCAATATTATTTTAATATTATTTTTAATAATCTTCCTTTATTATTGGATGGTGATTTGATCCCTTAAGATCTGTCTGTTGGGTTGTGCAACGATGGCTTAAGCTGCCACGTGTAACACCTGCATCCCACATTGGTGTGCAGGTTCAAGTTCCAGGTGCTCCACTTCTGATCCAATTCCCTGCTAATGTGCCTGGCTTCTGGCATCAGCCTAAGCCAGCCACAGCCATTTTCTATTTGGAGAATGAACCAGAGGATGGAAGATTTTCTCTCTCTCTCTCTCTCTCTCTCTCTCTCTCTCTGTCACTATGCATTTCAAATAAATAATAAAATTAATTAAAAAATCAATCTCTTATAAGTACACAAGAAAGGTGATCCAGTTAACTATTCTTTTTACTTAAGAATCTTAATAGTTTCTGCTTTCCTGTTTTAAAATATTAGAGAAAGGGAAAATTAAATACGTGTGAAACAATGAATTACTCATTTGAATGATATAAAGATACTTTAAGAAACTGGCAGAAAATGGAATTAAAGGATGCCTATTTTGATGCAGAACATTTTGAAAACCCTGTATTCAAAGGGTCTTCAAAAGATCCACAGAAATGCACATTATACAAAGCTTATGCATGAATTTCAAAATTTGTTTGCATTAATTCATTTTCCATGAATTTTTTGAAGGCTCCTTGTACACTATTAATTCTGATTAGTTTCGCTTTACACAGAAAGGATGCATCATATCATTGTACTTCCTAGAGGCCATTAGTAAGTGACTTATATTTTTTAAAAAATAAGAAGAACACTGTGTTAATGCAGTGTAATACTCCACAAAAATGCACATCCCCCAGAGTGGAGGACGTGTCCTTCTGTCAGTGTGTTCACAATGCTATGCGCAATGTAATTAATACATGTCTATTGAGTAAGTCAGTGAATGAAGAATCTGCATATAAAGGGAAGCTTTGAGCAAGATGATAAAGCAATACACTTTGATAGAGGTTTACAAAAGGTTGACCAATGGCTAATGGAATAGAAGATCTACATTCCCAGAAAAAGAGCATCCCGATTTACGTTGAAAGATTGGATTTCTCATATTTAATAAGGTAGTTGTTAATCATGGCTCTGGAAAAAGCATTTACAATAATGATATTTCTCCCCATATTTATGTTACTTCCTTTATTTACACATATCCTATCCATCTTATCTTGTTCAACAATGAATTTTAATATGGGAAATTATAAATCCAGGGATAAGACTGTGCATAGAAATACATGCTTTAGGTGCTACATGATCGAATCTTTATGTGCATTTATATTTTAGCAGAACATGCCATGATCATCACTAGATGAAAGGCTCTATTTTGTCACTGTAGTATACTCAATTTCCACACAATTCATTGCATTCAGCAGTCTTTTCATGAGCAATTCATAAAATTTGCTATTAATTATTTTATCTCACATAGTTGATAGGAACAGATAAAAACATAAATATACACAACAGAGTTTAACTTGCCCAGATTGCAATTTGCATAAGACATCTGAATATTTCCCACTGATAAATTAATATTTGGGAATTTCCCTAGCTAATCCCTTATTACACTACCCAAGTTAGTATCAGAAATGATATATGGAAATGGGAGCGCTCATTCACTATCTTAGAAAGTATAAATTAGTACAAGTACTTTGGGGATCAAGCAGAAGATATTCACACCCAAAAACCAACAACTTCATTTCCAGATTTATACCTTTAAAGGACTGATACACATGTGTGTGAGAACTGTTGCCTTACATATAGATTTGGAAACTATATATTTGTCCATTTAAAGAGCAATGGTCTCCACTAATAGGGAACGTGAGCTGGGTTTAGACTGTCGTGAGACAGGTTAGTTTTATCCTACTGATGATGAAAAAAAAAAAGAGCAATGGTCTCAAGTTTGTTTCATATATTTATAAAATGGAATAGCATGCAGTGGTTGAAAACAAATATAATTTAACGCATTATCATGGATTTTTGAAAAATCATAATTGTAAATGAATAAAATGTATCCTAGAATTATGTTTAATATATATAAAGAAAGGTAAATAATTCTCTTACTGCATATATATTTACATAAACTCATGTATGCATGTACATGTATAGTGCTCTACAAATATGTGTATGTAATGTAACTTTTAGGGTTGCATACTTTTTATAGTAAAGCCAAAGTGAGAAACATGATCATAGTGAAGTATACTTAAAGGTGTATTTTACAGATCCCTGACCTGTAAGCTGACATCTTACTCCATTTCCCATTCTTTTCCCATCTGGAGCATGTCACTTGTTTTTGTTTTGCTTTGCTGTATAACAAGTAGCATTTCCTTTATGTCACTATAAAAATTAAATAAATAAGCAGTCTCTCTCTCTGTTATACCTACAGAGACTATTCTGAAGAGTGTTTCAAATCTGCCATTGAGCCATTAAATAATACAGTCCTGAACAACAGTATAATTTAGAACGGACAGCCCTTAAGAAACAGCTGTGATATTTCCTGTAAAAAAAATAAAAGGCCATAGGAAAACAGTGAGTGCGCAGAGATCATGATGCTAGTGTTTTCCATATCTTTTTGGCTGGAACTGAAACAGGAAGATAAAAGCAGCTGTTCTTTCAGGAAGGACAAGGACAGACCCATAAGGATAGGTGGCCAACTCGAGTAATAAAGAGTAGTCCTCATTCTGCTGGGGAGGCAGCAGTTGACAGGAGAGGAACACTGAGCACCATGAAGGTGGAGTTGAGTGACAAGAGCAGCAGGAGAGAAGGTGAGGCCAGCTGTCAGGCAGCATCATCTGGCTTTGTGAATGTATGGCATCCAGATACTTAAAACACCTGAGCATCCCATAGAGGAAGGTTTGTGAGCCTCTCCATGAGGAAGAATAGGAAATATAGATGGAAGAAAGCAAGACCACAGACAGGTAAAGGCTGGGCTTTCAAAAGAAGATACCTGTATTGGTGCCCTCTTTGTCAGCACAGAAGATAGATGACCAAGGGAAATTAACAGGCAGTGTCTGCATTTCAGCAATATCCTTGCAGGGCCAGGAGACCTGAAAATCTCCCTTGTAAATTAAATATGGAAATAGCCTATCAGTCAGTCATATGGCCATGGTTGGCTTTATGTAGATCAACTATGTTTGATCCACTTAAAGCTTTATTTTTATTTCAATAAAATTAATGGGCCAATAGGTCAGTGCCGCTGCTCATTAGGCTAACCCTCCACCTGTGGCGCCGGCACTCCAGGTTCTAGTCCCGGTTGGGGCACCAGTTCTGTCCTGGTTGCCCCTCTTCCAGTCCAGCTCTCTGCTGTGGCCCAGGAAAGCAGTGGAGGATGGCCCAAGTGCTTGGGCCCTGCACCCGCATGGGAGACCAGGAGAAGCACCTGGCTCCTGGCTTCGGATCAGCGCAGCACGCCGGCTGTAGCAGCCATTTTGGGGGTGAACCAATGGAAGGAAGACCTTTCTCTCTGTCTCTCTCTCTCCTTGTCTAACTCTGCCTGTCAAAAAAAAAAGTAATGGGCCAATTAAGACCACAATTTAAAATATCTTGCTTGGTATGCTTGGTAGTGTTAATAATGTAATTTCTCTGGACTACAGTTGATTGTGACAAACCTTAAGACATTTAGTGAACATACAATTTAATTTAAAATGCTGATCATATGTATACATTTGTCTGAAAAATTAAACAGTAAATATTGCAGGTTTTTTGAATCCTCCCAAAATTTTTGAAAACTATTTTTGCCATATAGTAGCTAACATAAATTTCCAGCCATCTACAGCCTGCCAGGCCAATTTGATCATTTCTACCTGCTATCTATACCTTCTGAGGCTGCTTAACTATTTTTAGAAGTAGTGTTGCTGATAGTGCAATATAGCCTACAAGTTCAACCTCTGCCAAGCATGTCATCCAGGGCAATTGACTTGGTGAGAAAAACCTTCCTGGTCACCTGGGCAGATGTGTTTAGAAAGAAATATGAGCTGTCTAGTTAAGGTTACAGTGCTATTTTTAGTAGGCAATGAGGTTAAATACCAACTGTACAGCTGACTAACTTTGTGAGGTTATTGAAGGTTTGTGTTTACAAATGCAAGTCACTGAAGTTCATTTTTACAATGAAAATAAAGATGTACTGATACACACAAATAGCAGGCATCAGCCCTCTTCTTGTTGGTTTCTTTTAGGGGGGAAAGAGTGGAAAGAAACGCTGAGAGAAAAAGAACGAAATTCAGACATTTTCAACATTTAAAGAATTATTCTTAGAACTGTCAAAAACTTATGCATGATAGGATGTTTTATCACAGACTCTGGTACAGGACACTTCAGAGGAATTAGAAAACTGCCAACAGAATATTTCTTATGGGAGAGTGAATGAGAAAGTGTATGTTCAAAAATAGAAAGCAATGAAATGGAAATACTCCTAAAATGAGTGTCGCGTCCCTTCCTTTCTAGCTTTCCTTATTTTAAAATTGTTCCTTCAGTCACCAAGTTACTTGATGGCTTCTAAGCAGTATTTATCTTTGGTGATCGATAGCTTCATCTCCCCCTGTTGTCCAAACTGAAAACATCCAGCCTTCTAGAAACCGCCAGGCATTGCCCTCCTCTGTTATTTGTAAGCTGACATGAGGTAGACAGACACCTTCTGAAGTTTTATGCATGCTGTTTTCTCTCCTTGCTACAAGAAAAGCCTTTTCTTTTAACCTGGCTGCCTTTGAAGAACTGGCTCAGACATCTTCATGGCCTCTAAAGGTAAGAATAAATACAGCCAGATTCTTATTTATATTATGACTAAAAATATAGAGTTGTGGAGGTGTTACAATCAGTGAGGTAGATACTTTAAAAGCTGTCATTTATCACTTTTGAACACTGGACTTTTTATATTTTAATTCCCAAGAGCATGTTGCATTAAATTTAAAAAAAAAGAACACAATATCTGGTAGAATGTAAAAATACAGATGTAAGCAATGTTTCAGTTATCATGAATATAAATATAATGAATTAATAAGAATGGGAATGTTTAATGTTAGAAACAAGGACAGGATGATGTTCTAAGTTTTAAAGGAATTTGAAGAAAACTTTTCATGGATAAGTCATGAAATGTTAAAGTATAACTCAATTTTTAATTTCCCATTTATTATTCAAACTATATGATATGGCCATTTATTATAAAGAATCTGACACAGTTATTGTATCATAAACTTGAGGAACTAGAAATAAATATTTCTGAATTGAGAAGCAAAAATATTTCAGAATTTCTTTGCTATAAAAAATGAAACAGAAAATATCAAATTTAAGGAAGCAGATCAGCAACTTTTGGGCAGAGGAGGCTGATGAGCTTTAGCTCAAATTCCTAAAACTATAAATACCATCATTGCTACCTTACTTTTAAACTGTTTTTGAAAGACAAGAGATGTATGCGAATTTTTTAAGAGCTACATCTCACTAAAACATTGTGAAACGTGCTTAAAAATAAATTATAACATTCTTTGATTATCAGAACAAACCAGTAAACTACGGGCAATAATGAAAAGTTTTAGCATAAAGAATTACGATTAGTGTAATTGGTGGGAGACTTTTATGTGAGAATGGAGTCTACAAATGTATAATATATTAATTAAAATTAATGATCAATTCAATTCATGGGCATGCTTGTTTCATAAATTAAAACACTTTTTATGCTACTATTAAACAAATGAGGTCATCTTTTCACTTTTCATCAACAGTTAATGGAGATGATTACCTGAGAATCACTGGTGAAGCACATACAACTTGTAAAATATATACATGAGATAGCAAAATCATGAATTTTAATATATGTATGCTTCATTTTCATATTTGAGGATGAATCAAAAAACAAAAAAAACCTTGACAAATATTTTCTCCCATTTAAGACTGCCACTAACACTTAATCCAAAACACTTCATCACTTTGTAAGAGTTACAGCAATACTGTAGCCTGTAAGGTAAAGAGTTCCAGAGTGCATGAAATATTTATAAGCTAGTTATACATTTTTAAAAGAGTAGATAGAAATTCAAAGCCAAATAGAAATTCAAAGGAGTTTCTTCTTCATCTGGTGGTCTGAGTCTTTGAAGAAACTTGTGACTAGAAAGCAATATTATGATCAAAATATGATTAATATACCAAAAAAGCAGTGATGTTCAGTAATGTTAAGGACTTAGGATAAACTTAGAGACAAAACTTACCTAGAAAACTAACATTCTTTCTGCAACCTATTCAAAAAGCTTTAACACAGAGTGGATAAAACATCTATTAAAGGCCCCACACTATTTTTAAGTGACAATGTAACTTCCATCTGAATTAGATATCTTGTTCGAAAGGGCAACTCAAGTTATCATCATTACTGTGAATAACAGTTTTGTGGACGGTTTTATTCAAATATATTTAAAGACATTATTTATAACATCATTATAGTCTGCAGCCCTTGAAACTGTTTTGCCAGTAAGTGTTCTCCTAGGGAATTCAGGTTTATCAGAAATTTCACACATTTCGTTAGGCGGGTCAATCAGTACTGTGACATTGGAGGGTAGTCTGAATACTGGGAGCTGCTAGAACTGAAGGAACATTTGTGTGTTCTGGAGCCTCCTGGCTTAGTGTAAATAAACATAATTTAAGAACACGTTGGTCTGAAAGTTCGAGAGAAACAGGCCATCCATAGTGGCCATTTGGGGAGTAAACCAACGGAAGGAAGACCTTTCTCTCTGTCTCTCTCTCTCACTGTCTATAACTCTACCTGTCAAATAAATTTTTAAAAAAAGATACAGAATGTTCCTAACAACCCATACAGTTACTTTCTGTCCAGTTGCCATGCATCTCCAGTCCCAAGATGAACTACCATTTTGAATTTTATCATTGTGAACCTCTTTCCCCTAGATGATGAGCTTGCCTATATGTGTCTCTATGTGTCTAGTGCTTCTGAAACTAATGCTGGAGACAGGATGCTTATCATCATTTAATATATTCTAGTTCACATTGCTCTGTTGTACATTAGCTCCTCTCTCAAATCTGGCATAGTGTTAGATAGCCTTCTTCTGAACTTGCCCTTTGGGATCCTCTTAAGGATTCCTTCTCTAGAACAAGAGGAGTTATAAAGTCTAAATCCTTCATGTCTACTCCAAATCTAAGAGATGTTCAGGATGAAGTCCTTCTAGGAAGCACATTTCTAAAGTACGAAGGAACTTCAAAAAGTTCATGGAAAATGCATATCATGAAAAAGAACTACACATGAATTTCAAAATGTTTTCTCACCAAAATTAACATATGTTAATTCCATTTTTATATAAACTTTTTGAAATACCTTTGTATTATCAGTATGGAGCTCTATTTTCTGGTATCAAATTACAATTTATTTCTATTTGCTCTTTTAAAAAAAAACATTTTATTTATTTGAAAAGCAGAGTTAACAAAGAGAGAGAAGGAGAGAGAGAGAATTTCCATCCACTGGTTCATTCTCCAAATGTCCACAGCAGCCGAGGCTGGGCCAAGCCCAAACTAGGAGTAAGGAGCTTCATCCAAGTTTCCCACAGAGGTGACAGGAGCCCAAGGACTTGAACTATCTCCCGCTGCTTTCTCAGGTGCATGAGCTGGGAGGTGAATTGGAAGTGTTGCAGCTGGAACTGTAACTGGCACCCAAATGGGTTGCCAGCATTGCAAATGGCAACTTAACCCACTGTGCCACAGTGCCTGCTCTGTTTGGTCTTAACTCTAAAGTATATCTAAATTCTAAACATCATGACCATTAAAAACTCTGAAATCCTACACCAACAGTAATAAATTCAGTCTATTTTTACAAACTCAAAGTTAAATAAGTGAATCATCTAGTAATAATCCTTCAGTAACACTACATGTATAGATAACCTTAATGAGCCTGTTCTTATTAAATCAATCTACATTAGTGTACAAAGCACCAATCAAAACATTAGGGTTCTTTTTTTTTTCTCCTTTCTTCTTATTTGTTTAGACCAGACTTGAATTTTCTTAATGATGAAGAATTTACTGTTTTCAAAGAAAACCCATTCAATTATTAATATGTATTTTTTAAACTTGTAAAAACTTCCAGAAAAATATCCCTCCTGTAACATGAACTTGGATGTTGCTGCTTAAGTGAGGTCACTGTATGTATTGTCAATAGTATACATTCCATATATGGAAGAACAGTACATTTTCAGATTTCTATGCCATAGTTATAAATTTACTCCTCATATCAATACAGAACCAGTTCCCTTTTGCTTTACCATGTCTATAGAAATGGCTGAATTACTTCTCTTCAAATGACTCCTCTCATAGTTGGTACATCTGTCACGCACCTTGCTATACCTACAAATCTGAAGTAACACATGGATTTTTGAGGTTTATTTATTTATTTGAAAGGGAGAGAGAGACAGAGAGAGAGAGAATCTTCCATCCACTGGTTCACTTGCCAAATGGCCCCAACAACCAAAGCTAGACCAGATGAAAGCCAGAAGTTAGGACTCCATCCGGGTTTCCCACATGGGTGACAGGGATGCAAGTACTTTAGCCATTTTCTACTGCCGTCCCAGGCCTATTAACAGGGAGCTAGCTGGGAAGCAAAACAGTCAGGGTTCAAATCAGCAGTCAGGTACGGCATGGCATGGCAAGGGGCAGCTTAACCTGCTGTGCAGCAATGTCCTCCCCAAAATTGCAGAGCTGATAAGTTAAATACACTTATGAAAACTCTGATACTTTATGGATAAATAAAAATGAGAAATGAAAGCACTAATAGTCTTTGAATGACAGCGATACCCAAACAATACTCATATGCATAGAAATGGGAAATATGATAATAAAAAGTCTGTCATTTATATTTTCAATCCAAAAATTTTTACATGCACCACTAATTAGAGTTTATGCACAATATTACACAGGCTAATATATGGTAAATAGAAAACCTCTGGGTTTTCATCTGAGAAATGACAGAAATAGTAATATATTTAGCTGACAATAATAAACAAGTGATTGCTATAAAAAAATCAAAGTCATGCAATAAAGAATTCTGTAGCTATTTTGTCTTTTGTAATATTGTGTGAACCTCCATCAAAACATTATTGGATACCTGGTGCTGACGTCCTGTCACAGCAAGTTAAACCTTCATTTGCAGTACCAGCATCCCATACTGGAGCACCAGTTCAAGTCCTACCTGCTCCACTTCCAATCCAGCTTCCCATTAGTGCACCTGAAAGAGTGGCAGAAGATGGCCCAAGTGCCTGACCCCTGCACCCAGTTGCAGCTCCTGGCTCCTCGCTTTGGCCTGACCTGGCCCTGGTTGTTGCAGGATTTGGGGAGTGAACCTACAGATGAAAGACTCTTTCTCTCTAATCTTTTCTCTCTTCTCTTGATGCAACTCTGCCCTTCTTTAAAAAAAAAAAAAAAGATTTATTTCATATTTGAAAGACAGAGTTACAGAGGGAGGTAGAGACACAGAGCGAGGTCTTTCATCCAATGGTTCACTTCCCAATTGGCTGCAATAGCCGGAGCTGTGCCAGTCCGAAGCCAGGAGCCAAGAGCTTCCTCCGGGTCTCCCACGTGGGGGCAAGGGCCCAAGGACTTGGGCCATCTTCTACTGCTTTCCCAGGCTACAGCAGAGAGCTGGATTGGAAGAGGAGCAGCCGGGACTCGAACCGGCGCCCACATGGGATGCCAGCGCTTCAGGCCAGGGCTTTAACCTGCTGCGCCACAGTGCCGGCCTCCAAAGAAATAAATCTTAAAGTCATATATTGTGGACAGATAATTCAACTTTTTTCACAGCCTTTACCTGCAGTCTTCCAGATTCCTTTTTCTCTGACTTAGAGGCCAGATGGTGGAGGCAAAGGGTAGTGAAAAATGAAAGAAGGGGCACTAAAATGAGAGGTATCTGGAGATAATCTACCATCTTAATTAAGAACTTACAAATATTTTAAGAAAGACTAAATGGAATGACCTAAATTTAAATGTGTATTGGGGTTTTCTTTCTCTTGTAGATGCACACAACCAAAGAAGTAGAGGTCAGCCCGGCTTTCTTCCTGGAGCTCCAGATCCAGACCAAAGCTTCCGTGCCTCGTCATCCGATCCAGGGAATCAAGTATGGCAGCAAGGTGTTCCTTCACCAAGTAATTTCCTGCCAGCCATCAGTTTTCCTCCTGGTCTAGAATATTTAAGCCAGGTGTTTTTATCTTTCTAATTTTACAAGGTTTTCCCCTTAAAATTAATGCAAACATCACCTCTTGCTTTTCAACTAAAGTTGAGAGACTGCAACCAATAATTGACGGATCATGAAATTTTAAAATATTAATTCTGTTTACTTGTACTAATAGGCATATGTTTATTTTCTTTCATTTCTATTCTATTTTTATTTTTCTTATTTTTTGACAGAGCGATAATACTATTTTTCATTGAGCTATTTAGCACATTTTTATCAACCTTCTGTTCATTGCTTAAAGTGTCAGCAAATTTATCCTTAAGGAACTCTCTAATATGTCTAATCACCTACAATTATTTTTAATTAAATAATACTTATTGGGCATGTCCTATAATCAAGGCATGAAACCTAGTCCCTCAGACCTAAACATGTTGCAATCTAAGGGGCAAAAAATATTGATAAGAAATGCAAGGCTATGCAAAAAAAAAAAAAAAAAAAAAAAAAAGCCTGATCAACACAAAAGTGAAATGTGTGCAGATGGATAGAGAGAAAAGCCATTAAGGCTCAAAAGACTCAAAGAAACTTCCACAATGAACTGAAACTTCAACTTCAACTGAAAAAGGAATTGTAAATCCAAGGGAAAGCAAGTTGAGAAGCTAACATTATTGTCTCCTGGTTTTGCTGCACCTCCAGGTCAATTTACTTAAACATCATATTCCTGCGGGTATAGTCACTGTTCTGGTCATTGTAGTTTAAGCAGCAACTCAAGCCTTGTAATAAATCAATCAACAAATATCATCGGAATGATACAGCAATAAACAGCAACTGCTATCTATGCTTATTATTGCTACTTTTATATTTTATCCTGTAAAAGATTAGAAATACACTTACACTAATATTGAGATGTCAGCACATCTGCTGCAATTTTCAGCTTGTTTGGCATTCTTTCAAACTATAAAGTCTATCTCCTTTATCAAAATCAAATCTCTGTGCTAATTCCCTAAAGGTACAAGAGATTTCTGTTATGCCTGATAGGGTTTAAGCTGCATGTAGCATATGTTCCTGGGAAAATGTTTATAATTGCAGATGCCTTCTCCAGAAACCCACTGGCAGACAAATGTACTTTGGAGACTGGAGAGCTTAGGGAGATATGTAAAAGAGCTGGAAAATCTAACCTACCCTCTTCCATCTGCAGAAAGGATCAGCTGTAATAGCTGACTAGAGCTGATTAACTGCTGCAAGCTGTTTGGGAATGTTGTCAGACAAGGTTTTGCCAAGTATAAAAGTGATATAGCAGTGCCAGAGGGCTGAGGTTTGATGATCACATATGGTCATCACATATTCTTCTTCCATCCATGAATGATGACACACCGGAGCCAGATGCCTGACATGAACACTTTAAAAAAAAAAAAAAAAAAACATTCAATACACAGAGATATGAATCCACTGGCTTCAATCTAAAATGGCGTGTATTTGCCAAAAATATAACTTGGTTCATCTTTTTCAGAAACCAAAATATGCCCTAAATCATTGACTATATTTTTCTTCTAAATAGAAAGATAATTTGCTCACTTTATATTAAATGAACAATTATTTTATCTACTTTATATCAGTGCACATATAAAAGGATCAATGAGAATTTTAAGAGTTGTGAGTCTGAAGAGACATAATATAAAATGCATTTTTATTAACTTTCACCTGAAAGCCATAAGAAGAAATAAAATCATGAATATTTGAAAATAATCCATTCTTCAGGAAGTAACCAGGAAATTAACATGATAAAAGTCTTTCCAAATTAAAATAAGATGATTTCTAAAAACAAGTATTTCATTTTCCTTTAATAAAGTCCACTCAATGCACTCAATGCCTATTAAGAATCTCATTTCCATAAACAATTTAAAAATAAACATTCAAGGGCACTTCAAAAGTTCATGGAAGATGGAATCCAAAGTTTCTTTTGGTGCATAAAAAAATTGAAATATAGCCATACTAGGAGTTTTCAAATAGATTTATCTTTTAATTCCATTTCCTACAAAATATTTGACATATCACTGTATACACAAGTCACTGTAAGTTACAGCAAAAAAACAATAAATTTTTTCCAGATTGAATTTACATGTTCATAACATTCAATAATTTTTTACTCCATGGTGTCAAGGAGAATTATTTAGTTACCTAAAGGTAAAAGCAGTAAATGAAAGTCTACAAGTACATATGCAAATATCTAATTAATTTTGAAATACATAATTAAATGGAAACATTTATATTTGTAAAACTGATTTAAGAAACTGATTCTAAGCTGTATACCCTGGATTGTCATTGTGTTTTCATTTCTGCAGCTTTCATATTTAAGGAATGCTTTACTTACCTTGACACATGAATATATAATTCAGTCTATAATTTCTAATAAATCTATCAACCAATAAAATCTGATTAAAAGGGACCAATTTGGACAATGTTTTATGAGTGATTAGGGGATAACTGACCCTGAAACCCAAGAAGTTTGCCAACAAACAGAAGAAATCAAATGTTATTACATTTAGGATGAGTAGAAGAGTCAAGAAAATAAAAATGGCTCTTAAGAGTGTCATTTAACAGTTAATTTCTCAATCATAAGTTTAATTTAGTAATGGCAGTAAAATAATACAGTAGAAAATATGTCAGAATCATTGGCCAATAACAAGCTCTATGATCCTACACAAATGACAATCTTTGAGATTGTTTCCTCACATGTAAAATTAGTGATATTTATCACTAGTTTTATTAAATCAGGAACTGTGTCAAAATATATGTCACAATGACTCTTATCATGGTTGGTAGTTATTAAGCAAACAATTACCACTGGATATTAGAGAGGCACCGACATCTCTTTTCGCTGTAAAGTAAATCTCTACAATTGATAGCTTCTAAACTCCAAGACTAAAACTTGATCTACAACACCAGCAGTTAGATTTTTTCTTTTCTTTTCTTTTTTTTTTTTTTTTTTTTTTGACAGGCAGAGTGGACAGTGAGAGAGAGACAGAGAGAAAGGTCTTCCTTTTGCCGTTGGTTCACCCTCCAATGGCCACCGCGGCCGGCACACCGTGCTGATCCGATGGCAGGAGCCAGGTGCTTCTCCTGCTCTCCCATGGGGTGCAGGGCCCAAGTATTTGGGCCATCCTCCACTGCACTCCCTGGCCACAGCAGAGAGCTGGCCTGGAAGAGGGGCAACCGGGACAGAATCCGGTGCTCCGACCAGGACTAGAACCCGATGTGCCGGCGCCTCAAGGCAGAGGATTAGCCTAGTGTGCCGTGGCGCCGGCCTAGATTTCTAACTTCAAAGATTAGTCTTGCCCCATCGATATCCAACCTTAAATTCCTCCATCAGAGATTTACTGCTAAATAATATTTACCCTATTTGAGGCTTATTTACTCTCTCCCCACAACCCTCCATTTTCTTCAAAAGAGAACAAAATAATGAAAATAAGCTACAAAATTTTTAAATTTTTATGAAAAGCTTTTTCACAATTATGTACATAGGTTTCAGAATATCTCAAGATACTAGTGATTTTTTGAAAAATATTTTTGTGACTTTTTTATTATTTGACAGGTAAAGTCATAAACAGTGAGAGAGACAGAGAGAGAAATGTCTTCCTTCCATTGGTTCACTCCCCAGATGGCTGCTACAGAGCCAGGTGCTTCTTCCTGGTCTCCCATGCAGGTGCAGGGGTCCAAGCATTCGGCCATCCTCCACTGCCCTCCCAGGCCACAGCAGAGAGCTGCACTGGAAGAGGAGCAACTGGGACTAGAACTGGCGCCCATATGGGATGCTGGTGCCGCAGGCGGAGGATTAACCAAGTGAGCCACAGTGCCGGCCCCCCTTTGTGACTCTTAAAAAAGAGATCACATGCACTATTTTATAAATAAGATTTAAATGAAAGAGATGATATTCAGGATTAGCCATTGTCAGGTAGCTGGTTAAGGCACTGCTGAAGATGCCAGCATTCTATATGGGGATAGCAGTTCTCTGATATACAGCTCCTCTGTATCTGATCCAGCTTCTTGCTAACGTTCCTGGGATAGTAGTGGAAGATGACCCATGTACTTGAGCTCCTGCCACCCAGGTGGGAACCCTGGATAGTGTTCCTGTCTCTTGGCCTTGGCCTGGCCCAGCTTTGCCCATTGCAGTGATCTGTAGAGTGAACCAGCAAATGAGAGATCTCTTTCTCTGTTTCTTCATTGCTCTGCCTTTCAAATAAATAAATTTTAAAATTAAAGAAATTATATTTACTTTCCCTCCACCTCAGGTTATCTAAAGAGAACAAAGAAAACAATATTCAAGATTTCTGAAACTGCATTGTGGTGCCCAATCAATACCAAATTTCAGTAGTAACTGGTTTTGTTTAACAATTACTGATGAATTTATTAACGTGAAAGAAAGTGAAGAAAATTTTAAGGTGAAATAATTTTAAGGATTATAAAGTACAATGATCAGCACTGTATTTAGAGTTATGATTTGCTTGATTGGATCTTCAAGTACTGAATATCAAATCTAAAATATACACAAATAACCTTCCCTCTAAGAAGACATTCTTCATATTTTCTCTAGAAAAAGAATTACTATTGTATATTTTTGAATATAGTCATTTCTCACCTATCTGTGGATACTTTACGTAGGTAACTTCATTTTTAATTATATAAATTAAGTTTTGTGTCACACTTCAGCGACATAACTATTGTTCTGCTTACACTGATATTTTATTGGTATCAGTGTGATTTCTGTAGTTTTCTAGTCCAAAGGAGAGAGGGGATGAGAGAAATTTATGGAATTTTTAACAAAGTTGTTTCTTCAGCAGTAGGAATGAATTGAATCTGATAGAATAGCAATTGGGTTAGACAGGGGTTAAATGCGCGAGTCCAGGCCATCTAGTCACTATTTGTTTTTAAAGATTTATTTATTTACCTGACATGAGGAGAGTGGGGGCTGAAGGAGAGAGATAGAAACAGAGACACAAAGAGAGAAAAGGAGGGAACAATCTCTTATCCACTAGTTTGCTTCCCAAATTCTCAAAACAAGTGGGCGGGGCCAGGTCAAAGCCAGGAGCAAGGAACTCCATGTGATCTCCCACATAGGTGGCAAGGATCCAAGCACTAGGCCCTCAAGTCGTTATTAAGTTGTTTCATTTCTTTAACAAAAATCAGGAGGGTTACCGCTTGTCCATTCCTGCTACTATTATAAAATGCCTGAGGCAGGCTAATTTTATAAAGAAAAGAGGTTTATTCAGCTTATCGTTCTGGAGAGTCGGAGGCCTGTTTCCATCAACAACAGCATGTGAGGGCCTCTCCATGGCATGGTATCACAAGGGTGGGAGCACACAAAGAAACAAAAGATCTCATCAAGAAACGCGGAGCCAAATATGATTCTGGGGGCTAACCCCTATTTTATAACAAATTGTGTTCACAAGAATAAACTCAAGGACTTTTGAAAATGACCTTATTGCTTTCCAAAGGCGGCACTCTCAGTGACCTACGGGCCTCGTCCTAGGCTCCACCTCTTAAAAGCCTAACCACCTCCCAACATCACCACACTGGAGACAAGCTCCTGACACATGAACCCTTGGGAAGGAAACGCAAACCACATGCAAACCCTAGCAGGATTCTCTTTTTGTAAGGATTTGTTTATTTGTTTTGAAAGTAAGAGAGAGGGAGGGACACAGAGAGAGAGACAGACAGACAGACAGACAGAGAAAGAGAATCTTCTACTAGTTGGTTCCCTCTCCAGATGGCCACAATGGCCAGGGCTGGGCCAGGTCGAAGCCAAGAGCCAGGAGCTTTATGGAAGTCACCCATATGGGTGGCAGGGGCCCAAACACTTAGGCCATTTTCTTTCCACTGCTTTTCCCAGGCCATTAACAGGCAGCTAGATGGAAAATGGAGCAGCTGGGACACAAACTGGCACCCATATGCAATATCAGAATCATAGGCAACATACTTGCCATGCCACAATCCGCCACCTCCCCACTCAGTATTATTCTTATTTGGAGATTGTTAAAAGTCTCCAACTACTGTTTCTGAGATCTGCCTTTATTTCTCACCAGCACTGAAAGAGCACAGAGTGAAACACTGTTCCTGTTCTTTTCATTGGCAAATGTGCATTCAAACTTTAGTACATTTTTACTTGAATAAATGAATGACACCTTCCTTTGCAGCATAAAATGTCATCTGCTTTCAAGTGTTTTCCTGATAGAGAACATGAAAAAAACACATAATTTCATGTGGCATAGTAGATGGGTTCACATTAGTATCTTCAAAGTTTTTTGACATATTGCAATGTAATATTTTTTTTATTTCATCCTTTAACAGTTAGACCTGATCATTATACACCAGCAGGTGGAGCTTCTTGGAAGTAAGTATATTATTTTATTTATTAAAATTATGATAAATATTTTCATTTTCAGAGGTTTATTTAACATACAAATGTCAGAAAAATCATGTGTAGAATAGAATTAGAGCAAAAAGAGCACTACAACAGGGGCCGGTGCTGTGGCATAGCAGGTAAACCCGCTGCCTGCAGTACTGGCATCCTACATGCGTGCCAGTTCAAGCCCCGCTGCTCCACATCCTATCCAGCTCCCCAGGAAAGCAGTGGAAGATGGCCCAAGTGCTTGGGGCCCTGCAACCATGTGGGAGACCCAGAGGCAACTCCTGAATCCTGGCTTCAGATAGGTCCAGCTCTGGCCATTGTGGCCATTCAGGGAGTGAACCAGCAGTGGAAGACATCATTCTCTCTCTCTCTCTCTTTCTCTCCCTCCCTCCCTCTCTCTCTGCCTCTGCCTCCCTGTAAATCTGCCCTTCAAATAAATAAGTAAATAAGTATTTTCTTAAAAAAAAGCACATATCCATTTTTCTTAAAATAAAAGCTGAAATTAAAACTTTTAGTCTGATTTAGATGACACTAAAAGCATAAAACTGCCCAAAGTTTTAGTGCTGTAGTCACTAAAATTCTAAAATTACACTTAATCTGAAATGATAAAGGATTTTTGATAATTTCTATGGATAATCACCTTTTAAATTTCTTTTTTTATTTATTTATTTGACAGGTAGAGTTATAGACAGTGAGAGAGGAAGACAGAAAGAAAGGTCTTCCTTCCGTTGGTTCATTCCCCAAATGGCTGCCACGGCTGGCGCTGCGCCAATCCGAAGCCAGGAGCCAGGTGCTTCCTCCTGGTCTCCCATGCGGGTGCAGGGGCCCAAGCACTTGAGCCATCCTCCACTGCCTTCCCAATCCACAGCAGAGAGCTGGACTGGAAGAGGAGGAACTGGGACTAGAACCCAGTGCCCATATGGGATGCCAGCGTTGCAGGCGGAGGATTAACCAAATGAGCCATGGCGCCGGCCCACCTTTTAAATTTCTTAACAATTTCAGAAATAGAAATCAAGATTGAGATGAAGAAAAATGCTTCAAACAAAATGACACTACTTTATTATTTCATCAATGTCTCACCAAATAGCCAAATTATTTATCACTACCCAAACATACCAACTGAATCAAAATTACTTGTCTATTTTCTGTTGTTAGCATTGTATATTATTCAAAATTGAAATCATTAGATTGCAGGATAGCTTAAAAGCTTCAATATATTACCAGATAGAGATTTTAAACAAATTTTTCCTTACTATTAGTAAATTATCTCAGTATCGTAGATGGTAATGACAAAATTATTATTGTTATTATTACTTTTTTTTAACATCCATTCATTTATTCAAAAGGCAGAGAGTTGCAGAGGGAGAGGGAGACAGAGAAAGAGAGAGCTTCTATCTGTTGTTTCAGTCGCAAATGGTTGCAATGCCCAGGAGCCTGGGACCCCATCCAGGTCTTCCACACAGGTGACAGGGGTCCACAGACTAGGCCTATCTTCTACAGCCTTCCCAGGTGCATTAGCAGAGAGCTGGATTGGAAGTGGAGCAGCCAGGACATGAACTGGCCCCGATATACGATGAATGCATTTCAGGCTGCAGCCTAACCCCATGTGCCACAATACCTGTCCCCATAATTATTATTTGAATAATAGATTCCTCTTTACAGCATTGGTTCTTTAGTTGAAAACTGGTACTACAAGTTTTAAAGTAGATCATATATTTAGAGTCAAAATTATATATATATATGTGTGTATATATATATATCCTCATAATTTGCTTTGGTTTCTACAAGTCTTCAAAATTTACAGTATGGAACTGGATTTATATGAAGAAGGTACTAGCTGCTGAATAATTAATCACTGTATTTTCTTTTCATAACACTTGCCCTTTGCTTACTCAAAGGTTTTGACACTGAACAAAGCATCATTTTATGATTTTTGTTTTGCTCCAATAGTGATACTCGGTACTGAGACCTCCAACAAATATGAAATTAAAAACAGCTTCGGACAAAGAATTTACTTTGCAGTGGAGGAAAGCATCTGCTTTAATCGTACTTTCTGTTCCACACTGCGATCTTGCACCCTGAGGATCACAGATAACTCTGGTCGAGAGGTGATTACAGTAAACAGGCCCTTGAGGTGTAACAGCTGCTGGTGCCCTTGCTACCTACAAGAGGTTAGTCACTGGCTCTGAGTGTCTTTTTTTTAAGATTAGCAATTACTTCTTTAAATGGAATTCATCTGGAACTATGGGGAAATTAAGCTTTCAATTTTTTGAATTAGTATGTTGCTCCTTGCTGTTCTAAACAGCTTGAAGATGTGGTGATTCACTACATTTTTTTTTTTTCTTTTGGAACCAAAAACTCTGGTGGCTTCTGTGATATTGTTGGAGACAGCTCATGCATCATGTAAATTAGACACACCCTCCTGAATCTGTGTTTTAGCCGTGTAACTGTAACATCTACAAGTTCCACCTTTGTTTATATAATATGGTTTTTGACTTCTCTAACTGTAGTGAATTCCAGGAGATGCTTGGTGATACTAAACTCCTCTAAGATGTTTTCACAGTTAGGATTTAGTATTTAGGACAGAATCACCCATTTGATTTACCCTTTGATGACAAATCCAAAGGTGTGGCAAGACAATGTTATTGTTGTAAGGGAAAGAATCAAGTAATTTACTTTAATATATAAAAGAATTTCATCATTATTTAATAGACCTATAATAATAACTTGCTTTGACACCATGAAATTATGAGGACACAGAATTTTTACCTGCTTTACTGCTTTCAGCATCATGACATCTTGTGAGCTGGGAAGAGTAGATTTCATTCTCTGTATTTTGCAGTGAAGAAAACCAGGACTCAGAGAGTGGAGGTGGCTTGCTGGGGAATATCATAGATGAGACTTGATCAAAATGAACTGATTCATTCCCAACCCTCTCTAGGGAGGACATGTGTGTAAATGCTGCCATTTGGATGATAGGAAATAAATAATAATATGAAAGGTGATTTTTAGGAAAGTGCCTAACTATATGTATTGAAGCTAAGTCTCTATTTATAGGCACATACCTGGCAAAGTGATATAATAGCACAAAAATTTCCATCCTCTTACTAAGATTTCCATCCTCTTACTAAGGATGTTTGAGATTAGTATGCCCAAAGAAGATACAGCTAATAGAATTGCAGCAAATATGCCCATTTTATAATTTCTGATATTTGATTATGTTTCATAATAATCCAGTATAACATATATGTTTATATCCACCAATAATTTATTTTACTTGGTGAAATGAAACCAATTACTTTAATAGTGATTCCAGAAGAAATTTATATAATTCTGTGTAATCTAACTGAAGCCACATTTGTTCAAAAACACTATGTGCATATGAATAAGACTATGAACAACAATACAAGATCAGGCGATGAAGAGATGGCTTGGTTTAAAAGAAAGCAACTTTGCAATTTTTATTTACTTATTTATTCGAGAGAGAAAAAGAGACAGAAGGAGAGGGCACTCCCATCCACAGGTCCACAGTTTCACTCCCCAAATACCTGCAATGCCCAGGGACTGGGGTGAGGCTGTAGCAGGGAGCCAAGAACCCAGTCCCTTTCTCCCACAGGGGTGACAGGGATCTAGCTACTTGAGCCAATGTCTGCTGCCCCCCAGTGTGTTTTCGCGGGAAGCTGGAATTGGAAGCAAAGCCAGGACTCAAACTCCAGCAATCTGATAAGGGATGCAGGTGTCTCAAGTGACAGCTAACTGCTAGACCAAATGCCTATCCCAAAAGCAAACAAATTTTTCAAATTTACAACCATCCCTAATTTATCTCACATAAGGATTTGATTTAGCTTACATATAAATGTAAGGGAAATAGGGTCAAATACTAAAATAATGCCTGAAAACACAAAAATGTAATTTCTAAGCCGGCGCTGCAGCTCACTAGGATAATCCTCCGCCTTGTGGCGCCGGCACACTGGATTCTAGTCCCAGTTGGGGCGCCGGATTCTGTCCCAGTTGCCCCTCTTCCAGGCCAGCTCTCTGCTGTGACCCAGGAGTGCAGTGGAGGATGGCCCAAGTGCTTGGGCCCTGCACCCCATGGGAGACCAGGAGAAGTACTTGGCTCCTACCATTGGATCAGCACGGTGCGCTGGCCACAGCGCGCTGGCCACGGCGGCCATTGGAGGGTGAACCAGTGGCAAAGGAAGACCTTTCTCTCTGTCTCTCTCTCACTGTCCACTCTGCCTGTCAAAAAAAAAAAAAAAAAATGTAACTACTTGTCTTCAGCACTTTGAAGACATGAGCCAGCAATCAAATTGGTGCTTAATAACTACAACCCTGCAAGAAGCATTTGTTTGTAATTAAACTCAAGAAGGTTAGCAGTTCACAATTTAAAGAGGAAAAACTTGGAGACACTTAACACTTGGTAGAGAAAAATCAAGATGAATGTGTGCCATGGCTGCCATTCTGTGTGTAGATATGATTTCCTACATGAGGACCAGCTTCCGTGCTTGACCAAGAGTTGTACTCAGTTGTGCTAAGATGGCAAAGAAGCCAGTACTTCAGGATCAGAAGACAATCCTATGAATTTTTTTCATGAAATGTGGAAAGCAAAAACCCTCTGCTTCTCATTTTTATAGCAGATATTTAGAATGGTTTGTAGAAAATGATAATCAAAAATAATTGCATAACAATACACTGTTAGGGGGTAAATTGACATTATAGTAAAACTAAAATATAGCTTTAGAGAAATCTTACCTTATTATCTCTTCTTACAGTTAGAAATTGAAGCCCCTCCTGGTACCATAGTCGGTTATGTTGCACAGAAGTGGGACCCTTTTCTGCCTAAATTCACGATTCAAAATGCAAACAAAGAAGATATTTTGAGAATTGTTGGTCCTTGTACAACATGTGGCTGTTTTGGCGATGTGGATTTTGAGGTATGATTGACATAATGGAGGACGATTTTACTTAGGTCCTGATTTTCTGCAATGTAATTCAATTTTTTAAATGTTCAAATCATGAAATAACATTGAAATAAACTTAAAAAATAACATATTTATGCAATAATATAATAAATCTGTATTGTATGTGCCAAAAATAGTAATTCATAATTCCAGAAACACTAAATTTAAATATTAAAAAGTATTATAAAAATGTAATACAATAGTCATGATATCTGTTTTTCAATGAGCACAAATTTATTTTAACACCTTAAATATAATAAATGGTTATTAAATAAAGCATTTCCTGAAAATATTAAGTACAATTTTATATGTCTTATGGGCAAAACTACTATATCTTACTTAAAATAGAAAATGTTTTATAATTTTAAGTGCATAAAAGTCTTTGAACACCAAAATTTTTATGGACATTTAGTTTTCATTTTTCAAATTTACCAATATTTCTGATTTTTTTTTAATTTTTTTAATTTTTTTTTGACAGGCAGAGTGGACAGTGAGAGAAAGAGACAGAGAGAAAGGTCTTCCTTTGCCACTGGTTCACCCTCCAATGGCCGCCGTGGCCAGCACACTGCGGCCGGCGCACTGCGCTGATCCAATGGCAGGAGCCAGGTACTTCTCCTGGTCTCCCATGGGGTGCAGGGCCCAAGCACTTGGGCCATCCTCCACTGCACTCCTGGGTCACAGCAGAGAGCTGGCCTGGAAGAGGGGCAACTGGGACAGAATCCGGCGCCCCGACCGGGACTAGAACCCAGTGTGCCAGCGCCGCAAGGCGGAGGATTATCCTAGTGAGCCGCGGCGCTGGCCCAATATTTCTGATATTTAAAAATAACAGTACCCCCAATTTTTGACTTGTATGATGTATATGGAATTGTAGCACACATAATGTAAAACAAGTACAGGTAGTTTAGAATCACCTAAATTATATATTTCTTTCATTAGCCCTGGTGTTCACAAATCCCAGTCCAGATCTCATTTCAGAAACACATTTCATTAAAACACCATGAAATTAAAAACTATATTTATAAGACTTGCTCAATTCATTGTAAATCATTCTTCTCTCTGTAGCAATATGAACTATCTTAACAGAGGAGACGACCTAATTTAAATTACGTGTTTATTTTTTCATTCATTCATATAAATTCCACCCTAGAATTCAGCCTTTGGGGCTTTAGGGAACAATATTCACATACACTATGATGCAAATTTTGCAAAATATTCTGTCTTGTGCCTTGGTTTTCCTAAGAGCAATATGATTGAAGCAAACTTACAACAGGAGTTTCGGTATGCATGGTATAGAGATGTCCTAAGTAATTTTTTCTATTTTCCATATTCTACCACCATATGGAAAGAAAAAGTTTATAATGAATCCTTTCAACATCAGGATGGGGAACAGGATAAGTGAATGAATAGTTAATGAAGTTGCACTATAGATTTCTAGCTGAGAAGGACTGACGGACTGTGATGTCAAATTGGTCTGAACTTCCAGTGTGATATGTTAGCCAAGAGAGTTTTTAAAGTAAAAATAAGACATAGGTTGGTTAGAAAGAGTGGCAAAATGAATATTTGAGTATAATATAAAAATATGATTTCACAATAGCTGATTATATTTACATGTGTTAATACTTGTACAATCTCAGCAATAAAAATTTTATAGTTTACAAATTATGCCTATAAGTGAATTTAATTATTTAAAAATCATTTTCAACACATCTTTTTTCATATATATTTTTAGTGGAATGTTCAAGTTTACAATCTGGACTTCAGTCACATAAAGAAGTGATCTTCATAGTTAGATCATATAATTGAACTATGTACCTGCTGCCATCTTGTGGTAGCCTGCCTTTAATTATTTATTGCAATTATATTCTATATTTGCATACAAAAAATAAAATTATGATGGATTAGAAAACTGTCAGAAAATCCAAATTCCTGAAGAGTCAACTGGAAACTGAAACCTACAAACCTATGCTTATATATAAAAGACCAAATAACATAGAATTATCATCTGGGATGATGAATAAAATAACCCCTACTCTCATGAAATAAAGGTACTGAGAAATTAAAGCCAACTCTTCACTTTCAAATTTAACACTTTTTATTTGCTTTTCAAAGGTGAAAACCATTAATGAGAAGCTTACAATTGGGAAGATTTCTAAGTACTGGTCAGGATTTGTAAATAACGTCTTCACAAATGCTGACAACTTTGGAATTCATGTTCCTGCAGACCTAGATGTGAGGGTCAAAGCGGCGATGATCGGTGCTTGTTTTCTCTTTGTGAGTATGGTCACAGGGAGTACGGACCACTGACTCTTCTCCTTCTCACTTGCTGTAAAGCCAATCTCAATTTCACCACAGAGGCTGGTGTGGGGCCAATGTTCTTCAGAAACCAGAATTTAGAAGCCTTCTGCAGGGGCTTACTGAATCCTTTTCCCCAAGGAATGACGCTCCATCACACCCTACTCATCATTTCCTCAAAAGCTGTTTCCCTCCCTTTCAACCACAATTAAGACTTTTGCATGTTTTACGTATTTACTTTCAGAAAGGTAGACAGACAGAAAGAAAAAAAAATCTTCCATCTACTGTTCACTCCCCAAATGCCCTCAACATCCAGATTTTGGGCTTATTTTTACTTAAACAGAAAAATACTTAAACATACACACCACACAATTTATCCTGGGTAGACACGGGGATTATTCCATTGCGTAACAACAAAGTAGGTGGCAATCAGAACATGAAAAGTGCAATTTTCTCATCCTTCCAATATGATCATATTTACATGAGATAAAAAAGGTGACTTAAAAAAGTACCAGTTGCCAATGTTACAAAGAGGTTATGTCTTACTCTACAACTTACAATTTTATTGAAAACAATTTCTTCCCTGGCATATGGAGACGGGTGATGCAAGAAGAGAAGTCAAATAATATCTGTGCCAAACTGCTTGGCTATTCCCCTGTTCCTAATTTCTCTAATATTTCTATATAATTTCCTACCGTTTCCAATAAACTTAGGAAATTTTAAGATAAACATACATTCTCTCTCATATTTTGTTCACTTTAAGGGTTTTAGGATACTAAATCTTATGGCCATAGAATCATGTACTACTACAGAATAAAAAGTCTTATTTCTGAATCTATTCTGACAACATTTGGGACTATATTAAATAAAAATAACTCCCTCATGACATTACCAACAAAAAGTATAATACAGATATTCAATAGATAGATAGATAGACAGATAGATAATAAGGAATTTCTAAAGGACTTTAGAGGAATTATTTTAATTAACTTTCCCTAACATGGGTAGAAAATAGAATTAATGTATATAGAGTGCTTGGTTTTTACACTTATTAAGTAGTCACTCTCAATACCATGTTTTAAAAGATTTATTTATTTATTTAAAAGGTTTAAGAGAAAGAAGGAGAGAGAGAGAGAGAGAAAGAGAAAGAGGGAGAGAGAAAAAGAGAGAGAGAGAGGTATCTTCCATCTGCCGGTTCATTCCCCAAATGGCCTCAAGGGCCAGGGTTGGGCCAGGCTGAAGCCAGGAGCTTTATCTGGATCTCCCATATGGGTGCAGGAACCCAAGTACTTGGGCTTTCTTCTGCTGCTTTGCCAGCCATAGGGAGCTGGTTTGGAAGTAGAGCAGCTAGCACTCAAACTGATGCCCATATGGGATACTGGCATCATAGGCAGTGGCTTAACCTGCTATAACACAACACTGGCCCCCAATACAGCTTTGGAGAATTCTGAACTAAGGGGCCAGGCCGAAGGCAGGAGCTGAGGACTCAATCTGGGTCTCCCATGTGTGTGGCAAGGACACGAGTACTTGAGCTATCACTTGCTGTCTTCTTTAGGTAACATTTGTAGGAATCTGAAATCAGAAATAGAGCCAGTACTTGAATCCTGGCTCTTGGATAGGGGATGTGGGCGACCCAAACTACATCTTAACTGTTAAGCTAAACATCTCCTACTTTGAATTTTTTGGAAACTTTATTTATTCATTTATTTGAAGGCAGTGCATCAGAGATAGTGGAGAGAGACAGAGACAGAGATCTTCCATCCATTCGTTCACTTCCTAAATGGCTGCAAAGGCCAGAGCTGGGCCAGGATCCAGGAGCTTCATCTGAGTCTCCCACATGTGTGGCAGGGTCCCACACAGTCCCAAGTGCATCATCGGGAAGCTGAATCAGAAGCTGAGTGAAATCAAACTGGCGTTCTGATATGGGACATTGGCTTCACAAATGGCAGGTTAATGCTTAGCCTGCTTAGCCACAATGCCCATCACCCCTGCTTCTAATTTTTAAATGACATCTACATTTTATTACTTTATGACCAACAAGCTTCATAAAGCTCCTGTTGTGAGAACACTCTCTGAGGCTAACAACACAGTTCACAAATGCAGCCTAATCTTTGGTCTCTTCTGGTTCCAAGCTGCTCCCAACTTCTGCAGTCTCCAAGTTCTGGTGTAGTTTTCCGTGCTTCCTCAGACGAGTACCCAACTGCTGGCCAGAAAGTCTGTGATGATATATCTAATTCTTACTCACAGGACAGTGTCTATTACAACTTCCTGCAATGACCTATGATAGAGTGCCCTATGATCTCGCCCTGCAAAATGTTATCACCCCACATTTACACTACATCTCATGATGATTCAAATTACAAGTTACTTATACTCTGAAAATTCAACATGTGAATATCATGAAGCTTAAAACTTACTGATTTTTCTCCTGCTGATAAATTATATGTTGCTGGAACACCGCTGGGAAATATAATTGCTTTACATAATCAAAGCTTACATGTCAGACTCTTGATCTTAATTGTTGCCTTTTTGTAAATTCACTCATATTCAGTTTATTCTTTTGTAGGATTTTATGTTCTTTGAACATTCACTGGCTGGATTATAACAAGCAAGATGACGAAAACAATAAAATATGCAGAACATATTCCAGTAAGTAAAAGGCAAGTTTAAATGATCTCTTTCCCTTTGAAGATGTCTATATTTGACGCTATCTAATTCTTTTTCATTTTCTCCTAGAAATCCCTTGGGCACTGGATTTCATTTCTGAATGACTTGGGTATTTGCTTTTTTGTAACAAAATGTTAATTATTATATTTATTAAAACATGACTTAATGAGGCAATTATCTAGTTGTGAATGCATGATAGCTAAATACATGATTACTGGTCTGAGCATAAGGTTGCTTTGAGAGATTACCATTCTTTCTTTTCATCCTTTTGAAGTTATTGCAATAGTAAGCATGAAAGATGAGAACTGAGGCTTGCAGCATCACTGATGAAAATTCAATGTTTAGAGAACACTTTGAAGTTTTTCTGGTACTGAGTCTGGTTACTAATCAAAAGGACTGAATTTCTGAAATATATTTTCAAAAGATGTCTTTTTTACTTTGTTTATTAATTTTCCTATTGTACTGAGATTTTTTTACTTTACATATGAAAACTTAAAAGTTGGGTAAATAGTATAGCTAAAGATGAAGAGGATTAGATGATATCAATTCATTTTAGTGGCAAGAGGCACAGTTACATTATATAAGAAAGCTAATACCTACCAACCAAATCATGCTTTAAATACTGACTCTTCTTGGATATTTAAATAAGTATATAAATAGACTTTTAAGTTAGCAAATCCCATTATCTAGCAAAAAAGTTATTTATTTGCAGCAAAATTTAATAAATTAACGGGTGTAAACTCAAAAAAAAAGAAATTAAATGGGCAACTCTAAGACTTAAAAACATGCAAATCAAACAAATAAAGCCTTAATCCATGAGCAAATGCAGAAGTAAAGGAGTATAGTAAATTCAGTTAGTTACTACTTCTTGAATGTTTTTGGAGTCCTCCCTCCTAGTTATGCTACCCTAGCTATCAACATATTTTCTAAGCTTATACACAGGGTAAATTTCTTTTTTTATGAATGACAATATTTATTCCCCCTTTTCATTACTTTTTTAAAAAAGATGTTTTTATTTAAAAAGCAGAGAAGCAGAGAAGGGGGGTGGAGAGAGAAAGAGAGATAGAGAGAGGGAGAGGAAGAGGGAGGGATGGAGTGTGGGGGGAGAGAGAGAGAGAGAAAGAAGCTTCCATCCACTGGCTCATACCCCAAATGACTACAACAGCCAGGTTTGAGTAAGGTCAAAACTAGAAGTCAGGAACTCCATTTGACTTCAAAGTGGGTGACAGGAGCCCAAGTACTTTGGCAATCATCTTATGGTTCCCAGGCTTATTAGCAGGAAGCAGGATCAGAAACAATAGGAAAGGTACTATGTGGTATTTAGGTTCTAATTTAAAATAGTACAAACCCTACCCAAATTTCCATGCACATGGAAGTGTTTGAAGAAATTCCAAGAAACCCTCTGCTTATAAAAGGGAATGTATTCCAAGTACCTGTTATTAAGTCAATAGTTGGAAATTAGGAACCAATAATCTCCTAGCAACAGCATTACTTTGGTTGCTTCCCAAAGAATCTACAAATACCTATTCAGTTCCGGTTTCTAGCATAAGGGCTTTATGTTGCATAAGATTAAAAGGAAAGAACCTCTTCCCCATTTTCTGGTTCAGTTTCCCTTAGCATTCTTTGTCCTTGCTGTACACCTCATCTTTTCTTTTTTTAATTTCTTTATTTTAAAAACTGAAATATAATTGATATTCATCTTTTCTGATAGCTCCTTTCTATGGCATGGAAAATGATGCATCGCTTCCATCAACCACAAAAGAACTATTTGGAACAGAATAAGTTCTAATCCCTAAAATAAGTAAACATACAAAAAAATTTGTATTTCAAAATCACACACAACCTTTTACCCAGTCTATTATCCATCTCTTCAGCATAACTAGTATCACCCGCATGTTGGAGCCATGCAGGCATGGACGGGAACTCACTCATCCTGTGAGTGATGGAATCACCTGGAACCTGACTTGCTGTCTGGTAGCCATGCTTCCTACACCTGTAGGCTTGGGCAGGTGTAGTGGCACAATGGGTTAAGCCTCAGCATGGGATGCCTACGTCCTATTTTGCATTGCCTGGGTTCCAGTCCTGCCTCTGCTTATCCAGCTTCTTGTTGACAGGCACCTTGGGAAGCTCCTGGCACCTGGCTTCAAACTGACCCAGCCCAAGCTCATGTAGGCATTTGCGGAGTGAATCAGTCAATGGAAGATCGATCTCTCTCTCTCTCTCTGTCTCTCTCTCTCTCAAATTAAAATTGAAATAAACCTGCAGACTTTCTAAGACTCTTCAGTTTTCCCATGTTACCTGGCAGAGCTGTGGTGATCATTAGGGGAAACTTACCACATCCTCCACTTCTGCTTAACCCATTTCAACTAAAGTGTGTCAGATTTTTGGTCAATTATAACAAGCTAAAGGAAATGACTTTGTTTTTTAAACAAATATTTATTTATTTATTTATTTATGTGTTTATTTATTTGGACAATAAAAGTAACATAGAGAGAGAAGAGACACAGAGAGAGATCTTTCATCTTCTGGTTCATTCCCTAAATGGCCAAAACAGCTGGGGCCCGAACAGGCCAGAGTCAAGAACTGGAACCCATCTGAGTCTCCCATGCGGGTGTTTTTCCAGGTGCATTATCAGGAAGCTGGATGGGAAGTGGAGGAACCAGGACTCCTCTGGTGCTCATATGGGATTCTGGCATTGTAGGCAGCAGCTTAACCTGCTTCACCACAGCACCAGCCCAGCAATGACATCTTTAAAATGGATGCTTACTAACTATGGAAATGGCCATCTACAGTGAACGTTTCCTGAGGACTTCTTAAGAACTCTGTCTAGTGTAAAGAAATGAAAGGATAACAAAGCAAAATCAGACAGTATGTCTGACCCTGTCTGTGGGGAGCAACCGGACTAGACTGAGTTACTGGAATTAAGACTTATTCTATGCATCTGCTCTCCCACAATATGGCGCTGGGAGAGAAGTAAACAGCTTCCACACAGCTGCCTCCAGTTCAACTAATAAACTGTAGGACTTGCTCCTAATTGGAGGAGAGCAGCGTACTCGGCGTGTGGGCAGCCGAGTTAGGATTGGCGGAGGAGGACTATAAAGGAGGAGAGAAACGGCATGCACCGGGAACATCTAAGGGGAACATCTAAGGGGAACACCTGTGCAGCCCCCGAGAAAGCCGGCCGGCGGTGTGCCGCTCCCCTGCGGAAGTGGGGAATGTGGCCAGGGGGAACTGCCCTTCCACGGAGGTGGAAGGGATAGTAGCCAACCCGGGAAGAACCAGCAGCAAACCCGGGGAGGGCCGAGCAGACAGAAAGAACAGCGCAGGGTCCTGTGTTGCTCCTCCACGAAGAGGGGGAGCGACATAATGGTGCCGTGACTCGGATTAGGAAACCTAGCTCGGATAGGAAACGTGACTCGGATTAGGAAACCTAGCTCGGATAGGAAACGTGACTCGGATTAGGAAACCTAGGGCGGATAGGAAACTTAGGAGGGAAGAAACGTGACTCGGATAGGAAACTTAGGACGGATATGAAACTTAGGAGGGAAGAAACGGGAAGAACTAGGGAAAATATCGGAGAGAGAAACTAGCAAACAGCCTAGGGAAAAGCCGGACGAAAAAGGAGCCGGAAGAAGCTATTGAAAGCCTAGGCATAGACTCGAAACAGCCTAGGGAAAAGCCGGACGAAAAAGGAGCCGGAAGAAGCTATTGAAAGCCTAGGCATAGACTCGGATACGGACTACGGGGGGAAGCTGGGAGAAATCTCTAAGGTCGAAAGCGAAAGTGAAAGCTAGAACAAACAGACTCGGACGCGGACTGTGGGGAGAGGCCAGGAGAAATGAGGGAGGAATATCGTTGGAGGAAAGTTTGGGGAAACATACCGGGTAGAGAAAAATGTTAGGGAAATTGAAGCCGTGGGGGGCAGGCCAAGGCGGACACGAAAGCCACTTTGGGATTCTCAAGTTAGCCCGGGAATAGGGGGCGAAAAGTTGAAACCAGAAGCTGAAACGTGAGCCTGGTTGGGATCCGTCTGATTAGCCCGGGGAGCAAAGGACGGGGAAGCCAAACCGTGGGGCGGAGACGTACGCTGGGTTGAATTCGCCAGGCTAGCCCGGGGAACTTAGATTGAATGCTAGTGGCGGACACGTAAGCTACGCTGTGTTACTCACGGAAGCCGCCGCGTGCAGAGAGAGCACGGGGCGTGAATAGATAGGGAACGGGGCTGGCGCGAGGCCGTGGTTCAGACGCGAAAGGGTTAAGCGCGGAGACCGCGGAGTGTGCGCGCAAAGCCGAGCCGCGCCGAGCCGCGCAGAGCCGCGAAGCCGCACAGATGAGAGAGGCGCGGGCTGAAGCGGCGCAGAGCCGGGAAGCTGCCGGCAGGGCGAGGCGCCGGGAAGCTGCAGGGATAAGAGAAATAGAAGTTTAGAAATAAAATGAGAGAAATAAGAATGTTGGCAGACAGAAGTAAAATGGGAGAAATAGGAATGCCCGGAGATAGAGAAATAGAGAAATAGAAAGGCCTCCCTACAACACTGCAATGTGAGAGCTTGGATTCGGTCTGCCCGATTAGTGAGGCGATGAGCACCTGGGCGGCTAGCAGCTTATGCGCCGCAGGTCACCGAAGACAGGCACGAATTAACATCAGTAAGGCCTCCCCACAAAAAGGCAATGAGAAGGCTTGGATTCGGTTTGCCTGATAGGTTTTGTAAGCCCCTGCGGGCAGAGCAGAGCATGCGCTGCAGGGCACCGAACACAGGCACGCATCAGCGCCTAAAAACCTCCTCACAATGGCGAAGAGAGGACCCGGATTCGGTTTTCCTGATTGATAGGACTTGTAAGAGCCTGTGGCAACTCTAGCAAGTAGAGCAGAGTGTGTGCCGCGGGACACCGAAGACAGGCGCGTATCAACGCCAAAAAAATAAAAAGAAAGGGGGATCTGTGGGGAGCAACCGGACTAGACTGAGTTACTGGAATTAAGACTTATTCTATGCATCTGCTCTCCCACAATATGGCGCTGGGAGAGAAGTAAACAGCTTCCACACAGCTGCCTCCAGTTCAACTAATAAACTGTAGGACTTGCTCCTGATTGGAGGAGAGCAGCGTACTCGGCGTGTGGGCAGCCGAGTTAGGATTGGCGGAGGAGGACTATAAAGGAGGAGAGAAACGGCATGCACCGGGAACATCTAAGGGGAACATCTAAGGGGAACACCTGTGCAGCCCCCGAGAAAGCCGGCCGGCGGTGTGCCGCTCCCCTGCGGAAGTGGGGAATGTGGCCAGGGGGAACTGCCCTTCCACGGAGGTGGAAGGGATAGTAGCCAACCCGGGAAGAACCAGCAGCAAACCCGGGGAGGGCCGAGCAGACAGAAAGAACAGCGCAGGGTCCTGTGTTGCTCCTCCACGAAGAGGGGGAGCGACACCTGTCCTGCTGCCACACCCTGCACCCCTGCTCTACATTCCAATTTTTCTTCCTAAAGATGATCCCGCTTTCATGTTTTGATTTGAAAAACAAGAGTTTTTGTAACTGAGTCGTAACAGCAAAAGCTAAGACTTTCACCATGGTCAGGAATAGAAAAAAGACATTATTGGTAAATGCTGCATTTTTACAGGACAAACTACTTGGGAGTTTTAAATGAACCCTAGAACGATTGGAGGAGCTGGCGGTGGGGCACAGCAGGTTAACGCCTGGACTGAAGTGCCAGCATCCCATATGGGCGCCGGTTGGAGACCCGGCTGCTCCACTTCCAATCCAGCTCTCTGCTATGGCCCATGAAAGCAGTAGAAGATGGCCCAAGTCCTTGGGACCCTGCACCTGTGTGAGAGACCAGGAAGAAGCTCCTAGCTCCTGGCTTTGGATGGGCTCAGCTCCGGCTGTTGCGGCCAGTTGGGGAGTGAACCAGCAGATGGAAGACCTCTCTCTCTTGCTCTCTCTGCCTCTTCTCTCTCTGTGTAACTCTGAATTTCAAATAAATAAATAAATCCTTTAAAAAAAAAAAAAAAAAAGAACAATATTGGCCGGCGCTGTGGCTCACTAGGCTAATCCTCCACCTTGTGGCGCCGGCACACCAGGTTCTAATTCCCAGTCGGGGCACCGGATTCTGTCCCGGTTGCCCCTCTTCCAGGCCAGCTCTCTGCTGTGGCCTGGGAGTGCAGTGGGGGATGGCCCAAGTGCTTGGGCCCTGCACCCCATGGGAGATCAGGAGAAGCACCTGGCTCCTGGCTTCGGATCAGCGCGGTGCGCCGGCTACAGCACGCCGGCCGTGGCAGCCATTGGAGGGTGAACCAACAGCAAAAGGAAGACCTTTCTCTCTGTCTCTCTCTCTTACTGTCCACTCTGCCTGTCAAAAAAAAAAAAAAAAAAAAAAAAAAAAGAACAATATTGGAAAGAGCTAGTCAACATATACATCTAATGGAGACCTGCTGAAGATAAAACTCCTTCTTAGAATATGGCACTTATTTTTACATTTAAAAAACTGATGATTTACTTTGTTCTTGAATTGGTATATTACAGTAAAGTGAGACCCATCCTGTCTCTCCTTCATCACGAAAGTAAAATTGACGTTTCTATCTCTATGTTCTATTTTTCCCTTTTCTACCAAACATAAGTCCATGACACACTCATGCAACCCTTTGACTTTCAATAAAATATTCATCTCAAAAGCTAGGTGGGTCCTCTATGCCTTACTGTTTCCTGGTTTCCTATTTCTGCTTGGCCCCAAGACACTCTCAGAACACAGATTTCAACATGGTTTACTCTGAGATATATCAAGAAAGATTACCAGATTCAAGTGGCTCATTCCTTCGTTCATCCGTTTCATAAGTACTGACTCCCTATTTTATTTCAAAAAATGTAGTCCCTCCTATTAGATAGTGCTATGGTTTGGATATTGGATGTCCCCCGAAAGCCTATGTGTTAAAGGCCTGGACCCCAGGTGGCACTGTTTGGAGGTGGTAGGTCCTATAGGAGGTGAAACTTACTGGGAGGTCCTTGGGTCATTAGGAGTAAGCTCTTGGAAAGTAGTTATCCTGAGGAGGATTGTCATAAAACTTCAGTCTAGCCTGACCCATTCACTGTGTGATCTTTCTTCCTTGTGTTATCTGGAATGCACTATGGCCACTAACTAGAGCCAAAGATTGAGCCATGTCATTTGGACTTTGAATATCCAAAATTGAGCTACGTTATCCTTTTTTTAGTTAGCTGCTTCAAGCATTTAATTATAGTCATGACAAACTATTACAGCAATCTAACCCTAGTGGAGAAAGATCTTAACCCAAGAGTGATACAAAGGTAAGATGTCAAATGTGAGAAGTATTTAAGGAGATGGTCAGCATGTTAAGGTAGGGCTATTTGGACTGATCAGGAAATCAAGAAATGGTGCTGGATGTAATACATAAGGAATAACTAGCAGTGGAGGTAAGAATAACTAGCAGTTATTTAGCTAGTATTTTAAGAAATTACTTCTAGGTACTATGTTTTGCATTAACCATTCATGTTACTATGCTCAAGGTCATGCTATTCTTACTACAAACGTTTTGTCAACAAATACTTTTGGAATGGCTAAATGTACCAGGCATCAATGTAAGCATTAAGTTATGGCAGTAAACAAAAGCAACAAGATAGCTGCTTTCACGGCACTTACATCTAACAAAGATAGATAATAAACCAACAGTTAACAATAATATAATGTAATCATGGATGGTTAGAAATACAGATAGTAGACCATTCTGTATCTAAACCAATTAACTTATTGCTCAGGCAAGGTAGAGTTGAGCTTCTCAGACACTGTTTGAAGGCTAAGAACAGAGCCTATCTGATGTTACAAGAAGATGTGAAGTTTAAAAGCTGCTGTGTTGAGTATAGCTATAGAAATGTATTGACCAGAATAAAATTGTTGCTGACTGGTTAACTCTTAGAAATCTATTCCTCGGACTGAAGCTATTGATGATTATCTGATTTTCAGAAATGCTTTGAAGGAGATGTTACTCGTTGTCTTCCACAACTGTGTTCACTTTTATAATCAATCATTGATCAACTAAGCAAATTTAATACAGGTTTTGATTGTTACTAATTATTAAAATGAGAGGAAAAAACCATCATTCTTTGCTTGGGGGTAGGTGAGCATTTTATATTCCCAAATTCATGAAGAAAAGTAATTTAGAATAAAGAAATAGATATAGAGCTTTGATTCCCTTGAGCTTAGATCAGAAATAATGAAGCCAGACATAAAAACATTTGGAAAAAGAGAGTTCCAAACAGACAGAAATGCAAGTGCAACAGTTCTGAGTCAAGAGCATGCTGGGAAAGTTTGGGAAAAAAGAAACGTATGTGACTGTAGTATTATGAACAGGCAGAGGGGTTATGAGCTACAGGAGGGCTAGTAGCCACAGCCAGATCCTATAAATCTTACAGGGCAAAGTAATGAAGATGAATTGATGAAACCTTGAATGTGATTGGATGTGTGATGTAAGAGACATTAAGAACTCAAAGATAAAACTCCAGTTTCTGTCAAGTTCCCATTGTAGGAAATTGAAGGGATATCTAGGTTACTCACTAAATAGGTGCAATTCAGTGTGGTAGCTGCTAAATTAAACAAATGAAGCAGCATTCTGTGCTATTTAGAGTGGAGCCTTGTAACACTTAAACAGTAGTTAACAACACAAGAGTTGAAAAACATTCTCCAGACCAGGTGGAGTCAAAGTCAGAAAGTATGTGGCTGGGGGAAACTTACAAGCCAAGAAAACAGTCAAACAAAGCATCAGAGTGAGAAACGTGGTACACAGAACCAGAAATAAAGAGGCCTCACGAGATCAGGATGTGCCTAAAAAATTCAGGCTTTTTTCTTGTGCAAAGTCATATCTTCCCATTGAGTTGTGTTCCAAATATTCCCCAAGTAATAGTGCTAGAATATGCTTCAAATAACATATTATTCTTTTAAATTCATGTGTTTTATCTGTAATTGACCAAGCATCATCAAGGGACTTTGGAAATTAATTGGAAACTATCTGGAAACTAGGTAACTATGAGTAAACCAAGAGTATTGGAGTGGGGAGCTTGCGTATCCCTCCCTCACATTGTACCTGAAGGAGAAAACCAAAAATCATTAGATAAATCATTCATATTTCATTGCAAAAGAAAAGTTTTGAGAGATGATTCAAAATATCACACATAATATCTACACACATAATATCTATATACATATAATATCTATACACATAATATTTATAGCAGCTCATGAAAACTGATATATTTGAAAACTTAATTAGAGGCTTATGCACGGATATTTTTGTTTTGTTATATTTAATTATCAAAATGAAAGAATAAGCCAGGAAAAGTACATGAACTTTTAATTCTTCACAATTTACTCTTATTCATGTTTTTAAAGTTCTATAACATAGTTTTTTTGATTTTTAAAATTCATAGGGAGTGAAATTATTATAATATTTTGACTTCTCAAGTTAAGCAGTTATTCTTTTCTTTTGATTTTTTATTCATTATTATTTGATTTTTATTTATTTTTCTTACATTTTGTTTTGAAACATGGCTTATTATAGAAATTAAACACATTTTTATGAACACTCTCTTAATACTATAAATGGATTTTGTCTGTTTTCTCATGCTATTACTTATTTTTTAAAAATAGAATCAGGTGGGAAATGGACTTTGTGATATGTATGGTGGTTTATCATAACTCTCCAGGCATCAAAATTAGACATCACAAATTTGGATTGAGTAATTTAAGGAATCCATCATACATTTTAAAAAGAAAAAAATAAATTAATGAAGATGTTGTTAAAGAAAAGTAGGTCACAATTTTAAGACTATCTGAACCAGTGAATGCAAGTTCTCTCTCTCTCTCTGATTTTCAAATAAATACATTTAAAAAAGACTACCTGTTCAACATTGTTATCAGAGTCATTAAAAAATGCATTTTCTCTGATGAGCATTTGACCTAGCAGTTAAGACACTGGTTAAGGTGCCTGCATCTCAAATCAAAGTACCTGGATTTGAGTCCGAGCCTCAGCTCCCACTGTCAGCTTCTTGCTAATGCACACCTTGGGAGGCAGCAGGTGTTTTTCTCAAATAGTTATATCCCTGCCATCCACATGGGCAATCAGGATTGAGTTTTTTCTCATTTCTGCAGGGATCACTCCATACCTGTAACACATTTGTGGAGTGAACCAGCAGATGGGAGTGTTTCTCTCTCTTTTTCTCTGACTGTCTGTCTGTCTCTTTCCCTCTCTCCCTCTTTCTCTTTCTCAAATAATAAAAAGAAAAGAATTTTTGTGTGTTTATCATTTATTTATAAATATCTAGCTAAAGGTCAATAACAATGAAATGGTAAGAGATATCAAATGTTAAAATGTGACATTTTACCTGAAACAAAGCTAAAGCACAATGAAACTACCTGTTCATGAATATATAAAACCTAGCATTAATAGCAATATAAGAGCATTGGTTTATTCATCTATTCTCTTCTTATTTTAAAGAAATTATCATTTTGTGTGTTGTATTGAAATTAGATAAATTAGATGAGAAATGTATATAAGAAATCTAGCTCAGAAATCATATCTTCCGTATGCTGGTTCGTACCAAAATGGCTGCAATGGCTAAGGCTGGGCCAGACCAAAGCCAGGAGCCAAGAATTTCATCCCAGTTTCCCGCTTGGGTCCAGGGGCCTAAGCACTTGGGGTATCTCTGCTGCTCTCTCAGGCACATTAGCAGGGAGCTGGATCAGAGGTGGAGCAGCCAGGACCCAAACTGGTGCCCATATGGAATGCCAGTATTTCAGGCAATGGCTTTACCTGCTACACCACAACATCATCCTCTATTTATTTAATATGTGTGTGTGTGTAGAGAGAGAGGGAGACAGAGAGAGACAGAGAGACAAAGAGATTTCCATCAGCAGGTTCAATCCCTACATGCTAGCGATGATAAAAGCTGGGCTGAGCCAAAGCTGGGAGATAGGAATTCAATCCAGGTTTCCCACATGAGTTTCAGGAACTCAGTTAGTTAAGCCATCACTGCTCTCTTGCAGGGACTGCATTAGCAGGAAACTGGAGTCAAGTATTAGAGATAGGAGCTAGGCATTAATTCCAGATACTCAGTGTGAGGAAGGGACAGGCGACTTAAATGCTAGGTTAAACACCTGTCCCAGAGAAGAAACTTGAAAATTCAGAAACCTAGGGGAGAAGTGTTCGCATGCCTTTCAGACTTGAATAAGTGGTATTCTCACAAATATTTAGAAAAACAACTTAAATGATGATGTCAGGACTTTCACCCACTGATGCTCCACATGTGAGGCCATTTTTGTGGCTCTCCCTGAGAGCTGTATCCTACA